AGCAAGCAGATGTTTCCTCCCCAATCAACCACGAGAGCACTGACTCCGACAGTGATGATTCCGTGGACAGAGGGATTGAGGAGGCAATACTGGAGTACCTGAAGGAAAAGGATGATCACAAACGCAAGGCAGAACCATGCTCCACATTTCTCCAATCATCCAAAATTCAGAGAAAAAATCCACCTATTCCTGATGTTTCTAAACAGAACTCTGACAGCAATACATTTTTGATTGCAAGCAACCAGCATCCAACATGTGTCAAAGAAACCCAGACCACGCCAGCTGTTATACCTATAAAAAAGTATATCAAAAACAAGGCCTCCCTTCACGACAGCATGGTCAAGAAATTGGATTCTAATAAAAGTACAACAACCAAAACTTTAGTGTCTCTCAAAGAGCAGACAAAGAGCCCATCTAAAACGATCAGCATATTCAACAAAGTGAAGTGCCCGGTCACAGTGAAGGTGGAGGAAGACTCAAATGACTCCAGTAGTGATGATGGTATCGAGGAGGCCATTCAAAGATACCAGCTAGAGAAAAAGGAGCAGCAGAACACAAGGGAGACTTTCAATCCACATGCATTCAAAGAAGAGGAGTCTGACTCCACTAGTGATGACGGGATAGAGGAAGCTATTCGCTGCTACCAGCTTGAGCAACTTAAGGAGAAGAGTGTCCTGAAACCATTCTTACACAAACAAAAACCCTTCAGTAAGTCATTAATGCATGCTGTTGGAAGTACAAGCACGGAAAACATGAAGAAAAACAAATTGAGAAAGAAAAAGACCAGAACAGAGAAAGAAACGAAATCTGTTCCTCTTTCATCTGCTTTCATACCCAAGAATTCACTGTCCGAGAGCCGTAAAGGAAATGGATTGCTTTCGTTTAAAGTAGAAGGTTTTAAGGATCAACCCACACCTGCTCCCCCAAAGGTTAATACAACTGCAGAGCTCATGTGTGCTGAGGCAATACTGGACATTTCAAAAACTGTTATGCCCGGGGCCTTCCATCATAGTGTTGGCCTTACCAGTTGTGCCCCCGCCGAATCTTCCGTGCAGTCTTCACTTCCTGATGCTTGTCCAGATGAAGAGAGTGATAACAGCTCCATTGATAGTGAAGATGGGATTGAGCAAGAAATTAGGAAATTTCTTGAGCAGAAGGCCCAAATGCACAAACAGCCCCCTGGCTCTGCTGTAACTCAAGAGCCTCAAAGTATGAATGAACCAGAGAAAGTGAAAGCAAAACAAGTCGCAACTCAAAAGAAACCTTCAAGAATGTCGCTGACGCAGAGAAGAAAACACAAGGAGGAAAACTGTAGCATTTCCAACATGTCAGGGATGGATAACAATGTTAAACTAACAGCCCCTAAATCTTCACCTGAGCATAGAAAAGATTTGAGCCCACTGGTGTTTTCCCACAGAAGTCAAACACACCCAATAGCTGGGATACACAAGACAGAGCAAAGTGGAGACAAGAGTAGCTCACTTGACAGTGATGAGGACCTAGACACCGCTATAAAAGACCTGCTCAAGACAAAAAAGAAATCAAAGAAAAAGACAAGAGACTTAAAGCGGAAATCAAGGAAGTGCCTCAAGGATGAAGAGCCACTGCAAAGAAATGCTTTCCAGGCCAAGAAGTTAAAACCTGAACCTTTCTCCAAGCGCAGTGCTTTGAAAAAAGTACAGAAGAGTAAAGACGACGTGAAAGACAAGACTGGACAAAGTAATAAGAACATTTCCCAACAAAAACAAACTGATGAAAGTAAAGAGCATGACATGCACAGAGGTGAAACGGAGATATTGAAAGGGAATGACGGACGAGACTCCATGTTGCCTCACAATACTCAGACTGCTCTTCAGATAAAGGATGATAGTAGCTCAGTAGACAGCGACGACAGCATTGAGCAAGAGATCAGAAGGTTTCTGGCTGAAAAGGCCAAAGTTTCAACTGCAGTGAAAAGTAAAGACGGAGATGTATCGAGGAATGGTACTGTTGTGGTTTGTACCCGGATTCAAGATGAAGACATTAAACAGGAAAATCAGCTGGCTGAAATTCCAAGAAAAACTATCACCACCTCTTGCCCTGGACAACCTCCTCTGAGCAGTCCACCTCAAGATAGACCTATTCCAACGCCACAGAGTTTGCCGGACATCTCTTCTGTCGGTGCACAATCATGTCTGTCCTCGGTCCAGTCCTGCAGCCCCGGTCTTTTGGAGCCAGCAGACGGGGCGGGGGCTGCTAGAACCGAGCAAAGGAGGCCTGGCATGGGGAGAGGAAACGTCCAGGAGGTAACCTCACAGATGGAGAGAGTTCGACCAGTTTTGAGTCCCAGCCTTGCTCATTCTCGTTCTGAGTCAATCAAGTGGCGCCAGAGCCTGGGACTCCCCATCACTGACACGAGGACTCTCAGTCGAACACAATTCCATATCACCTCATCTAAAATCAATGAGAGTGCATCAGCAACTCTACCATATCAAAGCGGGGACATCAACCTCAAATCACAGACTCCAGTCGCTGTTTGGTCCTCTTCAAAGACCAGCGGAGCGCCCTTCCCCTGGTCTCCAGAGACATCTGTAAATAACACGTTCACATCCCCTGGTTTGAATCTTTTGTCTACTGCCAGGCAACATCCGAGGATGTCCTTTACACGGAGCCAGCCACTTGGCCACAGGTCACAGTGCCCCATAGAAGGAGAGACAGAGAGTATGGTGCATATGTCTAAAGACAAGAGTGTGTTTGTCGAACTGGAATCTAACAGGACCAACCATGTCCAGGTTCGAAGCAGGGAAAGGAGCGAGGGAAAGGAGAGAGTGGACTTGCTAATTGAGAAAAAAAGAGAAGGCGAGAGCGTGAAGATAGATGATAAAGAAGTACATCTAGAAAGAGCAGAGGAAGAATTTGTAGATGAGGCAGATTGTGAGTCAGGCAACAGGAGAAATCCAGAGAAGAAGCAGGGCTTTTCCACATTGTAAGTATTTCCTTTGGTCACTATGTCCCATAGCATTATAATCCAACTTTTATATAAGTTCATATTTTGATTGTGCCCTGCTGATACATATAAGGTAGGTTATGATCAAGATCATTCATTTATAGGCTCTAAGGGAATGTTTGTTAATACAAGAAAACAAAACAGGCATTTTTTAATGTGTTTGTACATTTATACAGCTGTGTAACATAATGGCACCATCATGAAAACTTTTTTTGTGCTCTGAGGTTAATCCATATCACCGAACCTTTGAAAAGCAATACAGTGACCTTTTGTAGAATAGTTTGTCGCAGAAAATGACTAAAATGACTTCATCCTAAATGACTTTGACATTTTATTTAAAAAGAAGTGACCCAGAAATATAATCCGTCAGCAAAGTCCAAATGCTTAAAATTAGGATGTTTTTAATGTGTCCATGGAACAACACAAATCATGTTAATCAGAAAAATACATGCTATTATTTCATAATAAATTACACAATTTAAATGTTATATATAGGTTTACTTTAAGAAGAAATCAAAGATCTTTTATGTGCAAAAGTTAGAAAGCCTTTATTGTTGATGTTATTGTAATAGGTTTCATCACTGCTCTATTTACGGGACAAATTATATATTATATTATAGATCAATTAGACTTGTGCATGCAAAACAGAAAATTAAAGGTTTAAAGCATTTTTTTTCTTCATCATATTTTAGAAAAGACATTTGAAGTTCTTCTTTTTTTTTTTCTTCACACTTCATATCATTAAGGATTAATCAGTTGATAAAGAAAATTGGCTAATTAATCAATAATGAAAATTAGTATAAATGTGTTTTATCAGAATCTATGTGAATTTTTTATCTTGCATCACCAAACACTAATGTCATATGTATGTAAAATAAAATCTACTGTTGTGTTCTACTGATAATGAAACTCTATCCAGACTGTGTTCCCGATATCCGAATACATGCTATTACTTTAACCTCCTCAAATTCTTCTACATCAACTCTCTACCTTGCTCAATACTGTTTAGCTTTAGCTGCTTGTGTCATCACATTACTCTCAATGCTTTCCTCCCCAAGAAATACCTTCCCACTTAATTCCAGCAAAAAAGAGTCGCCATGTATTGTCAGCTCCGACCTGAAAACATGCCTCTTTACTTCATCCCTCACCCCACCCTACCTCTTGATTTTATCACCTCAGTCTGATGAAGCTCTTCTAATGATGACGGATTCAGTAGACCCTTTCTAACTTTTGCACATAAGGAGAAAAAGCCAGGGTAACCTTTTAAAGAGATTATACCCTTGACACCTAAAAGGCACCTTCTTAGAGCAATTTTAGAACACTAGTAGAGACTGAAACAATCATGTATCCTTTGTTGAATACCATGGAGATATTATACTACATCTACTCAACATTTGTTTTTCAGACACAGTGCCCTTAGTTCATTGTATGGTTTTAAATTTATAGGTGGGACGTTAAGCTCAGTGGTTGATGAAAGCCACTATAGCAGTCTTGGATTTATTACCTCTATGACTCACGTGTTGTTCCAGTTCCCACAGAAGCCACATACTCACTCCTCTCTGTCTTGCTAAACTTGATATTTAGTGTGTTCATTTCTTTGTCATGTTAAAGTTTTCTTGAATTTCCTATGTGAAAAGACTATTTATTTTTGTTTATCAAAAAAAAGAAGTTACTGAACATGCTGTGCATTGCCAGGTTTTGTAAATATTTTGTAAGAAGTGTTTTTTTCTTTTACTCTTTCAAATAAAAACTTTTGCTGTGTCTTTTAAGTGCATCTGTGTAATAAAGAGTGGAATACAAACAACAATGGGCCTTCTTCATTAATAATGTTTAATAATTGAAATCATAGTAGCATAATTTACAGATGTTAATTTTTTTTGAAGATGGGCGTGGTAATGAATTATAAGGGTGTTAAGTAATTACTGGGGAGTTGTCTTATGCATGTCCTGCTCTGCCTTGCTCAGGTCTTTGTCCACTGCCATTGACCCTGGCATCACCTTCAGCCCTTGCATAGCTCTTACCACAGAGGAGAGAAGCAGGATGTTCAACAGGAGGTGCCTGGCTGAAAAAAGCAAGAAGGTACAAATACATAGAAACAATTTATGGTACAGTTTGCAGCCTTTCACTATTTGTATCCCTTTTACGATTAAACCAAATGTTCAGTAACAATTAAATGCACTGGCCACATCAATTACGAGGAAAACTGAGAATATTTTTTTACTGTTTGTAAAAAGGTGTCCAGATCCAGAGAGTGTGAAATATGTATTACACAATGCTTGCAGGGGAAAACTTCTCTCAGTGTTTGTGTGCAGAAGAAGACTGTGCAACATGTCAAGAGAAAGCTTCAGTTTGTTCCAGTGTACAGGTATGTGATTGGACCTAGATGTATATGTCTCTACATCGAGTGATCACAGTAAAAAAAAACGTTCATCTTAGTTTATTTTCATCTTTTTGCAGGAGAAATGAAGCACCCTGCCAGCACAGCAAAACAAGATAAAACATCATTATGAAAGTGAAACATGCATGTAGATGTTTGATATTACAGTATGTGGGTTGTTAAATAACTCCTTTGAACTTTATTAAGCCTTCATTTATATAAGGTTTCATGTTAGTTTTGATGTTGCAGTTTAATGGAAATTTAATATTCTGTATTACAGTTTTTTTTAACAGTTCTGGTTAAGAAATTTTTTTACGAAACACCATTACAAATTGGTGCCCTATTTTGTAATGTTATAAGTTATATATTAAGTAGATTCTCCAAATAACATAACAAAACGTGGAAGAAAGTTTAAGTTCACATGTTTGTTTATGTAACCAGTTGAGAGCATTTCTTCTTTTTTTTGCAGTTTTGGACCAAAGAATAAATCCTAAACCACAGGAACTGCCAGAGGGTTGTAATAACTAAATTTTTCTATTTATTTTTTAAAAAAATTTATGTTGCTCCTGAATAATTAGAGTGTTCTGGTTTCAGGCTTTTAGTTAATTGCTATTATTTAAACTCATGCTACATTGTCCTTGGCTAGACATATAATGAATTCCTCTTTTGTACTACAGCAGTTGTTTCTAAATCAGGAGTTATTTCCAACTTTAACATTGGTTTATATTCTTTTTTATAACTTAGCTCCATAAAAGTGTGGTGCAGCCATTGTTGTTGAACTTTTTTCAATAAAGTTTTGAAGTTTGAATTTTTTGTTTGGACGTTATAGAAAACTTTTATTTTATGGCATCCTATGAACTACAAACACAAACACCGGATTGTTTAGTAGAATTTATTTATTTACTTTAAATTAATTGTGTGTCATTGCTAAGAGGTATAGGAGATAGCTTAATTATAGCTTAAAATAAATTGTTTTTCAATCTCAGTAATAACATCATCTGGACTTGTTATGAATAAAAAAACAAATATTAAATATAATATATCCGCCTCCTGTCATTTATCTTTCCGTTCCAACAACAATATACAGAGAAAATGTGAAATTTTCGGTCATATTTAGGAATGTCGATTCATCGTAATTAATCCACAGCTACCCTGTGATTCATCAGATTAAACATTTTAATCGTTTGACGTACATCGATCTGTACATCGTTTGTAGATGAAACACAACCTGTGCATTTGTCTCAACAAACCACAGACTGTATCTGTCTCTCTCTTTATGTACAATCTGATTAAAGGAGGCAGCAAAGTCTCACAAACCTTAAGCTCTGTGAGAAAAGCAACATTTTGTCACTAAATAAATTTGGTTAAAAGAAAGAAAAAAAAAGATTTAATAAAAACCACAAGAATGTCAGAGAAATAGGATACCAGTGCCAAGTGTGTTATGTACAGATGTAAAGATGCGACGACAATGTAGATAAACAAAAACTGTGTCTGGCCTTGGATCAGGTGGTTTCCTTCATTCTGCTGGATCACAGAGGTTTAACCACAGGTTCCAATACACACCCATTCAAAAAAACACCAACTTCTCTCATGAAATACTCAGTCGATGATGGGCTAAATTCACACCTCTCGTTCAGTGTTCTGGTGGTCCATCTGAAAATAATCATCTAATTAATTAGATATTAGGCCTTAAAAACGGGTATTTTTTGTGGGCGTGTCTGTTTGATTGATATGCCTGGTCTGCAATGATTGATCAGATGACGCGGCAGGCCGGGAGGTCGATCACCGGGGGGCTTGGGTCGTGAGTGCATCGTATTGAATCAGTTGTGTTAAGTTTCTGTTATTTTTCTTAATATTTGTCGGCGGAGGAGGAATTTTGCACTGACAGTTTTACTGTTAGTTCTTTAGTTTTAATGAGTTTTCGGTTCACAGTAATTATGGCTCGTTCTTCGGCACTAACAGACTGGAGAGACGCTGATATACCGTTTCTTTCGGTAAGTAAATGTTTATTTTCTTTAACGTCCTACAGTTTTAACGTGTATGATGCTCCTAAAAGCTAGAGCGTTTTTTTCCTACGTGTTTTGACCAGAGAACAGGAGACAGTTAACATCCAAATTAATATTAGAGTTAATGTGAATTACAGATGCACTTTGCTAACCTAGCTAGCTTGCTAGCTGACTACTTAGTGTTTGCTATGGTAACCGTACCTTGTCCCAAACATGCAAACATTTGCAGGACAAGGATAAATATAGTTGAACAATTAACTCACGCTCATGTGGCTGATAGAATTTTCCTACATGCAGCAAAAAATTCAGTTTTATCTCATTAACTTATTTTCTGTCTCCTCTTCTCGCTGGTATCTTGTTGTATTGAGATCAATACACAATGTATAATAGAACATTATCTTGTGGGGGTTTTAATTTAATACTGTGAATTCATACACAGAAGTCCTCAACCGAAGCAGGTATTCATGCACCTGTCCTGACAGCTGGTATATGTGTGTGATTAACTGTGATCCACCATGTCTGAACTAAAGTGTTTGTCTTTTACTGTCATTCAAAGGAATCCACACTGAAAACTGAATGACTGGTGCCAACAGAAGGAGGACCTCATGTATGGACAAAGGAGACTGCACGGACATCCTTAGTTCTCAAATGGGCTGTGATGATGATGGTGATGATGATGATGCCAGAAAACCACTTCAGTTCAGCTTCCTCTGATGAGAGGACAGACCAGCTGTTTAGAAATTTGTTATGTGCCAGTCAGAACTTGCCTGCTTTAGTTCCTGGCTGCTCCAAAGCCTCAAATGATGTCACTTACTCTCTGTGATGTCAGTTAAAAGCAACAGTACATTGTTTATAGACACATGTTAATGTGACGGGTGGTAAATCAAAATGAGGGACACACACAAATCATTACATTTTTAGAAAAAAGTATGTTTTTATTAAAATGTATCTTATGTAAATAGGGGCACACATATAATCCTGACAATAATAAAGGTTTGATAAAAAAAAACAACATTTAATGGTGATATTTTTGGATACAAATGTCAAGTTGTTCATGTTCTAAGGAAAAATGGCTAAAAATACTATGTTAGTCTTTATAAATAGTATTTTCTCATTTAATATCATGGTAAGAGTACTTGACTTAATGGTTTTAAGATTTGGAAACCTACTTTTGCACATTTTTGTGCCTTATGCATCTCATCAAATGTTGCGGACCCAAATGGCTCCCGTTTCATAAAATGACTCATCTATCTTCTGTATGGGGATATAGAAGTACAGCTTTATTGCAGATCAACTTCTGTTAGGGCATGTACATGTGTGTATACATGTCTTGCTGTGGTTGTGGGGACAAATTTGTGTTTGAAACCGTCAGCGTGAGGTTATTTTGGCCAGTCGTGACAGCTTCAAAAGGCTTTTGGAGGGACACCTGCAGTGACGGGAGATCAGTGTCAGGATGAGTCTCTACAACATGAATGAGACTCAATGTAATGTCCTTTGTAAAGATTGATACTTGAGGAGTGAAGTACACGCACCAAGCAGCAGGCACGTTCAAAAGTTCTCCAGGAATTTTCTAGTACTTTTAATATTCTCCTTTACTGGTGCAATCTTCCATAATTGTGTCATCAGTGCAGTCACCTGGATTTTAAAGTGTGTTTTGTCTGTATGCTAATAAGGCTGTGCTGCCTCTGTGACGGGATTGGTCGGAGCAGAGAGGAGGAGCCTCCGACTCCACGGCCATCTTCTCTTATTGGTGCAGCAATGATCCTGTGAGTCCCCACCACAGCTGCAGCCGTTTAAGCATCAGAGGAAGAGAGTTTAAGAGCCCGGCCCGCACATCATTAGTGGCGGCTGATGTGATATGCAGCTCGCCTCTGTGCTTCCTTTGTGAACATTTGTGTGTAATTTGTGATTTGGTTTGGGATGCTGGTAGTAATTGTTGGGGACTGGGCTAGGTCTAAAATTCTGCTTGTGCATCACACCCAGGGGTGCTGCTTCTTGTGTTTTTGGGTTGCTTAGAATCGCATAGTTAGGCTCTTTGTTGGCTCCTGTTCCCCTACTTCAGTTATTCTCTTGCCTTGTTTGTATATTTGTTTACTTATTTACCTTCCTGTTAACGCAATAAATTAAATCAGTAAATCTGATTGACCAATAACACCTGCTTTTACGTTGCTTCCCTTTTTCCCCTAGCTGGGTCGTAACACAAAGCCTGCCAACATATGGTGACTGGGAAGATGGATGCCAGAAGCCAACGTGGTTGTAGTGAACTGAAACCTGGCTCTATGAGCAGTCCGTGGTCAGTAAGTGAAATACTGTAAAATACTTCCCGGGCTGTTGTATCTTCTTTGCTTGCAGAAATCAACTGCCTGGTACTGGATGCGAGTCCCACGGCGTCTGAGGTTTTACTTTCTCAGCAAAGTGGTTCCACAAAGGGTTTATATCTTGATGCTTCATGTGAACAGTGCAACATCTACTGGCCTGAATGCAAAATGGGCAAACACAAACGTTTGTACATCACAAATTGAATGTAAGTATAAGGGAGAAGCATGATTGTATTTTATTTTCCAAGCATAGATTTGTATACTGTCAAAGCAAATCACAATATGTTTTGTATGCATCAAATGTGTCAATATCAGTCAAGTTAAGCTCAATGTCTTTGTTTTAACTTAAGTGTCAAAACCGTAAGTCGGTTTACAATGTGGGCAAAGAACATGTAGCTTTACTATTAAATGTCAGCTTTGGTGGTTGTGCTGTAAAGGTGCAATAGAAGATGTGGCCAGAAGTTTAGTTTTAAAATGTTCAAAAAAACGAATTAACACTATCAACAGTGTGTGAAGCAGCCACAATGACGATGTCATGGTCAAGATCTCTATCTTGTATTTCAGAGTTATCTACTGAAATGCGCATGCGCACCAGCCAGCCCCGACCTGTCCTGAGTTGTAATACCACTTTGTGACACTAGACGCTGTGTGAGTCAGCGGAGCGTCAAGTCTGCCCTCAGTCCCACGAAGAAGAACAACTTCCAGCTGCTTAAGGTTGGCATCACAGAAACACAGGAATGGCTGAACCTCCTAAAAGGTAGTATTCATCTGTATCCCGCAGGACCGCTCCCG